ATTTTTCTACACAGTAACTGCTGATTCCCTACTATGACCATGAATGAAATTAGTTAGTATAACAATCTTCTACTGCCCTTCTTGCAGGGTACAATTATAACCAACAGTATTATCTTTCCCAGTGTTTACCCTTTGTACTGTTAAATACACTTTTACTTCTATTAACCTGATGTGTCAGCTTTAATTGATGCCCTTTGACTCCCAGCCACTACAGATGAGGCAAGCACAAACTTATTCTTTCCCCAACTTTCTTCCCAGTCCGTACTTCTCTTATCTATTCCTTGTGCTACCAACGCTGACATTGTAAGGATATTCAACATTCATATTTTACTTCTTCTTTTGTTTTCATCTCAGGCTATAGTTACATATACTCAATGCTCTCCAATAGTACTTTTGCCAGTTTCTCTGGTCACCTATGCAGTATGCAGTTTACCTTCTAAAAGTTAACCTTAAGAAACAAACATATGAGGGTCTTAGACCATCAATATGCCAGGAGTTTTTATACGTTCAAAACTGTGGACAGCCTCTATATTTGAAGAACATTTTACACAGGATGAAATTATTCAAAAAAGATCAGATCATTTATACAAGCTTACCAATGGGCAAGGTCAAGATTTGAACACATTAGTTAGGCGCTAAAGTCAAAGCTCTTGTTTCTTCATGGTAATACAATTACCATGGATAATGAAATTAAGAGAATAGAAAATATATTTAGGAAATTGTGCTGAGGGAAGGGTGGGGTGAGAGGTAATACCTTATAGTGAAAAAGAATGGTCTGTGGAGTCCCGTCTTAGATTTTCATATCGGGTATGCTGCTTATTAGCGACGACACCCTAAACTTCTCTAAGCCTACGTTTCTACATTTCTAAAACAGCAACAAAAGTGACTATCACACGAACTGTGGTGCCATTCCAATGAGATAACATGTCTATTGAGGCCCGAACGCACTGACTGATAAACTCACTGCCCATCCAGTCCATTCCGACCCATAGCAACCCTACAGGACAAGGTAGAACTGCCTCTGTGGGTTTCTGTGACCGTAACTCTTTCCTGGAGTCGAAAGCCTTGTCTTTCTCGTGGGGAGCAGTTACTGTTTTGAACTACCAACCTTGCAGTTAGCAGCACAAAACATAACCCCTATGTCCACAGAGCTGCTCCACATGGACTAATGATAATTGTTACACTGTTAGCTGCCCACCCCCGGCCCCCGCCCTAAAAAATACTTCCCACTATCACAATATTAATCAAGAAACCATGAGACGTAGTTTGCAAAGAACTTATTTCTTTACATGAAATGTCCTCCCTTCCCCTTCGGCCCAACTGTCTGACCTAATCTTTAATAATTACCTACTGCAAGGTCCCAGCTCCTTCATGAGAATTGCCCTACTGATTCAATCTACATTGCTCTAAATCACTTCTTGACTTACTTATATTTGCTTGTGCCACATCGTAAAGGTTTCACAAAGATCCCACTTTAACTAAAAATATTAGAGTGTTTTCTATTGGCGCATGTTTTCCAATTGCCTCTTTTACCAACTGCTTTATGTATCATCTTATCCCATTAATTAGCCAATGATGTCTTTTTCAGACAAGTGTTACAACTTTTGTCTTTCTGGACTCAATTGCTTAACACTATTAGTACATGGGCAGTTTCATCTGATTGACTTTTGCATGTATAAATTTAGGGGACTATAAACAGATTGATGAACTGGAAAGGCTTCAGGTAAAATTTAGGTAAAACATTTAATTTTAAAATCATTAACTTTTTGAAGGGTTGTTTCTAGTTTAAAAAATAATGCAAAGGACGATTAGGGGTTACAAAGGGTTTTTATAAAATGCCTCCAAAATGATCTCTACAATAAAAGAGGAATACATATACCAGTAGAGGGAAAAACTGGACAGGATTACAGCATCTCTAAGAGCAAAGGTACAAAAAGGCTATCTAATTCACAGATGCTTAGTTAATGTGTAACCTTTACTGAAAAAGAGAAATTCTCAACCACGTAAAATCGTTCAGAAGGAAGTCACAACATTTAAAAACATCTACTTCTTGGTACTCAATGTTCCACAAGAAGCAATTTCACTTATTACCCTGTACTGAACACAGTTAAGACTACCTGCTCTTTTCAGTTTACAGACTTCTACTCTTATGCTATTGGTTTCAGAAAAGAATCTGCTTACATAAATAAAATTAAGCATTCTAATTCTAAAGTCATCCACCAAATCTGTGGATGTGCACAACATAAATTCACAACTGCAGAGACACTTCAAAGTTTCCCAAAAGTTCTAGTCTACAAGCCTTTTCTAGAGCTGTAACTAACAGGTAATGGCAACAAGGAGCACATTGGGGTGGGGGGTCCTGAAAAAGCTGTCTGCTGTAGCCAATTCTGACAACCCTCGGCATGCACAGAAAACGTGGGATTATTATGATACAACACCCACCTGTAATTACCCATGAAATAGCTACAGTTGCTGACAAAGGCAACCGAATTTATATTCTGTAGTTAGAAAGGTACTTTTAGAGGAAGGGTTTGTCACAAACCTTCCCATGGGGGCAACTTCGTAAAGTGGAGAATGAATTCCCTGAGCTCACAAGCACAGGCAATTCCCTGACTTATTTTTCAACCGTCGAATAATTTAACCTCTTAATACTGCAATTTTGGAGCAAAAGCCTGAAACACTTTTTAACACTTCCTTCGAAAACAGGCTGCGACTGGGGGCTATTGTCCTTAAAACGATCCTTTCCAAGATAAATGACAGCAGTCTGCGGTTCAAATCTCAGGAGCTTCAAAGCAGGCAACAGCTCAAACACAAACAAAACACCATCAGCAAACTAAAGTCAACCAAAGTGTTTCTGAGATTTGTTTCCTTCCTACGTCCTTGGGGACCGCACCTCTTTGTGCAAAGAGTCCGAAGGTTCTGTAACCTCAAGACCCCAGAAACCTGCCCACCTGGGACTCTCCGGCCCCGCACCCTGTCCTAGGCCCCGAGGGAGCCGCGGGACCGCCGTGGAAGCGTCGGCGGAGGCAGAAGGCGGGTGAGAGGCGATGCCGACGCCAGGCGTTGCCCGGCCGGGCCGCACACCAGGGGCGGGCCGCCAGAGACCGGGCCTCGGGCCGGCCGGGGGCCAAAGGAACTTGAGGCCGGGGCCCGAGCTCGGGGCCTGCGCTCTACCGCGAGGCCCAGACCACAGGGAGATGAGGAATGAAGACGCGCACTACCTGGCGGGGACACTCGGCGACCGGTTCCTGCGTTAGCACGACGCCCGTCGACTCGGCCGGCACTCACTGCCGCCCCTCCTCCCCGACCCGGGGCCACCTCCACGTTCCGCTCCAACGTGGCAGCCGCAGCCCCGCCCGCCCGGCCGGGCAGCCAGGCGACGCTTCCGGGAGCGACGCCCCGCCCAGCCCGCTTCCGGGTGCGACGCCCCGCCCCGCCCGCTTCCGGGAGCGACGGCCCGGCGAGTGTGGAGAGTGTGGCGGCCGCACGGATCGCCTCCCAGGTTCCAGTGGCGACTGCCGCCACGCTTGGAGCACGTTGGTGGTCAGGGCCAGCCATGGAAGGCGGCGCGCAGGGCCTGGAAGCGGTGGCCGGAACTTGGGAGAATGGACTGGTTTTGCTGGATGTCGTCGTCAGAAAGACTGTCGTCCACTGGAACGCCACGTAGCACGCTCTGGTTGAGTGACGCGTCAGCAGCCCTAAGACTGCTTACATCAGACAAAACCACATGAAAACCGGGCTGCAAGGACCTTATTGCTGTAATTTGTGACTGGTTCTTAAAATTGCTGACTTGTTCCTACTGTGTTGCATTTTGAGAGGGCTTATTTAAGATAAACCTTTCTGGTCTTACCCAAAAGCTGTGGTGCATGTACTGATCTGTTTCTTCCCCAAGTTGTCCGAATGCAATCATACATACGCTGGAGATGGGGTGACTTCCGTTCCAACCCATTGCCAGGAAGCAAGCCAAACTAATTTTTTGGTTTCCCAGTGCCGATAAGTTATGTTTATATTATGAAAAGTGCAATAGCGTTACGAAATAGTTTGAAATACTGTGAAAGCTACCAAAATGTGACAGAGATGCAAAGTGAGGACAAAAAAGGCACCAATGGACTTGCTTGACATAGGGTTGTCACACTTTTCCTTTTAAAACACAAACCAGTATCTGCTTAAGTGCAACTTGCCATCCAGACATCGGGTGCTCCGCGTATGTGTATTGCAGAATAGAGCTGCCCTCCACCCCCACTGGGTTTTTATGGCTGTGACCTTTGGGAAGCAATTATATAATCTTTCTTCCAAGCAGCCTGTAATGTGGTTTCAAACTGCCAAACTCTCAGTAGCCCAGCGCTTAACTCTTTGTACCACCAAGGACTATCCACTAAGGAGGATGAAATGGCACCGGATTTTTACTCCAGAGGGATCGATGGGGCGAGGGACATTTCAGTTAATATTGTTTGGTATGGACACCTCCTAGCACTCAGCCTCTGCCCCTGGCACCCTACTCAGTTTTCACCAGTTTGGTGTCCTGATGGGTGCATGATAGAGGTCTCCTTTTTATGATCTAAGGAAGTTACAGCAAAGCAAATTGAGCCAAACGAAAATGACTTGCTACAATACCAGAACTGGATTGGACGCAGGCTCTCTTCCCATTACATCTATCATTCAAATTCAGTTTCTTTTCTTTAACAATATATATTATATATTTTTTGTAAACTAGGGGTTTAAATTTCAGGTCAACTTTGAATTCAACAGTTTAAACTACTAATCAACCCCCCCTTAATTTCTTTACCCTTTCCCCATTCCTTGATTTCTCTTCCCCCCTTTTGTGGACCAGTCTTCCACTTCATCCAAGTTAACATCCATCAACCATCTAGTCCAGTGGTTCTCAACCTTCCTAATGCCATGACCCTTTAATACAGTTCCTCATGTTATGGTGACTGCCCCCCAACCATAAAATTATTTTTCTTGCTACTTCATAACTGTAATTGTGCTACTTTTATGAATTGGGTGAACCCTGTGAAATGGTCATTTTACCCCCAAAAGGGTCACGATCCACTGGTTCAGATGGGCTGATCTAATCCAAGGATTGGCAAACTTTTGAGACAGAAGAGCAATCCTGTTCCTCATAGCAATTTAAATGTTATTCAAGAGCCATAACTACATTTTTACAAAGAAATGAAGTCACTGTTAACTGAAAAATTTTCTATTTTACTACAAAGCCACAAGTATGCACTAAAAGAATGGCCGAGCTGCAGTTTGCCAACCCCATTAGTCTATTGCTTTATTTTCCTTCACTTGGCAAACTCCAGTTTATTCCCTTTGGTCTGAAAGTCTTTGTCTTGGTTCCCTCTACCCCCTTATAACAGTGATCTCATATTTGTCCTTTTGTGATCAGCTCATTTATTTTTTTTATAAATCACTTTATTGGGGGCTCATACCACTCATCACAATCCATCCATGCATCCATTGTGTCAAGCATATTTGTACATTTGTTGGTGATCGGCTAATTTCATTCTGCATATTCTCCAGGTCCGTCCATGCCATGAGGTGCTTCATAGTTTCATCAGTTTTTAAGTGATGCACAGTATTCCATTGTGTTAAAATATTCTTTATCCATGCTTCTATCGATGGGCATTTAGGTTGTTTCCATCTTGCTATTTCGAACAATGTTGTAATAAACATGGTGCATTTGTGTTTGTGCTATGGCTCTTATATTTTGGGGTTTATTTGTTTTGTTTTGACTCGTTCCATTAGGATACATTCTGTGGTAGTCACCTAATCAGGTGTCAATTTAAGGATGAAGAGTGTAGGGGTGGCGTCTAGGCTGCCATTCTGGAGATAGCCAATGGGACTTCTGTGTGGGCATGGCCTTCTGAGAATTCTGGGAAATCTAGTACTTCCTCCTGGGAGGCAGAACACACTTCTCTCTCTGCTACTCCCTGACATTGCAGAAGATAAGCCACGTGGACACAACCAGATCTCAGAAGCTGGAAAAGCCACAGAGAGACCCCTGCCTGCGGCACTGAGATACTTACATCGCCACTGAACCCAAAGACTTTCTATCTGCTGGCTTGTGATCGTCCTGCATTTGGCGTCATTGCATGTGTTTCGTTTGTCTGAAGAGGACTTTATAGACTGGTATAGGACATATGGGCTAATATCAGACTTATGGCCTTGGACTTGACTGGGTTGCGATGTTTTCAAAATATTCAATTCCTCTTGTATATAAATCTTTCTTATACACATATGGGTACCCATGGATTTGTTTCTCTCGCCTACCCAGGCTAACACACATACCGAGCAGAGGGATTGCTGGATCCTATGTAATTTCTATTCCATTGTTCAAGGTAGCAGTACATTCCTTCTCACTATGGTTGCACATACAGTCCCACAAGCATCAACTAATGCCTTCGTTGGAAGTACTGTTTTTCTTGTAAGCAAGCAAAATCTAAGTGCTAGTGAGCAGAAACATTTTCTATCCTCACTGTATAATAACAATGCCCTGGTGGCATTGTTGGTAACCAGCAGACATTCTGCAGAAGAAAGATGAGGATAACTGCTTCTGTAGATTTACAGCCTTGGAAACCAGGTTCTAAACTGAAGAAACAGGAACTTTTCCATGGAGTTGGTCAGCACAAGTTTCCATACAGCCTTGGAAACCCTGTATAGAGTTGCCATAAGATGGAATAGACTCCGTTGCAGTGGGTTTGGTGGGTATTCTTCCGTTTTCACTGTATTTTTTAAGTGTATTTTTATGGAATTGAAATAGGCTGTGATAGCTAGGTTTATTGTGCCAACCTGGCCAATAGGAACATGTGGGATTAAACAGTCCCTAGTTTGATAAGAGGGCAAAGAGATAAATGGCTCTGCAAGGCCTGTCCCCTCCTCTCTTGCTCCCTGGTGATCAGACCTGCACTGCATGCTTTAGCTAGTTCTCTGTGTCAACCTGTGAGCTACATTACCTGTAGCCCAAACCAACCCATGGATTGTGTTGCTAAAGCTTGAGGCTACTTCAAGACCTGCTTCACCTCGCTGCATTGCTTGAGCTTGATATCCCACCCGGGCCTGCTTCACTAAACTCCCCAAGTACTGATTGTTGCTAAATGGCCAGCTGTTTGCTGCCTATGGACAGACTTTGCCTGCCTTGCCTGAGGGAGGACTCCAC